AATGTACCATACAATAAAGTTTATGTGTTCTTCCTCAAAATCTCACCCTTCTGTGATGATGTCAGGCACACCTACGTGGCTAGAAGACCCAATGTCTGTGTGATGAGTGAAGCACAGTGGATGATGTAGATGTTGTGATGTAGCTTAGGCAGCACAATCCTGAGATGCTATTGAGTAACCATGGGTGGGTAGCATCTATGGTGTGGATGCACATGACAAATTAGGATTCATATCTAGAGCAGAATTTCTTCATGCTGCCCAGAATGAAGGGCTACAAATTTAAAGCTTATGTTTTTGTTTTGTTTTGTTTTGCTATGTGTGTGCGAGTGTGGGTGTCAGTATGCACCCATGACATGTGTACAGAGGTCAGAGGGCAACTTTAAGGAGTCAGTTCTCTACTTCTAACATGGGAGTCCTAGGAACTCCCATCCTTGAACTCAGGCTATTAGACTTGGTGGCAAATGTCTTTCTGTACTCATTGAATCATGAATTATTTGGGGAAACTTTTCATTGAATATTTTCAGACCAAGGTTGACTGTGGATAAAAACTGCACCTAAGGGGAGCAGGGTATTTAGAAGACACCAGGAAGTGATGTTACCCTACCCTCCACTCCCAAAGATGACCCACTTTTTATCACAGGCTCTTGGAAGGTCTACCAGATCTCTGTTTCTCCAACTGTGTGTCTCAGTTTGTTAATATGCTTTGAACCCATCGATTCTGATGGACTAGAATGGTTGAGGAAATTCAGAGCGGAGCACAGATTTTGAAGCTAAACATTACTTTCAGCTGGCTGTATATTTTCATACCATGATATAAATATTGTTGGCTATGGTTCAGAAGCTTTTTAAGCTCTAGGTGCCTCATAGATAGTCATTTGCAGAATGAACGGTTGCTCTTCACAGCTAAGTAGCATGTGCTGTGGGGTCCCTGTGCATCAGTCACTATGTTACACAGCCTTCCATGCATTGTCTCATGCAGACATTGTTGTAGGTCTAAGATCAGGGTGCTGTTGTTCTAATTATTATCTCTTGCCTGTGAACACAAAGCTGGCAAACAGCTAAACAGATGGCCTACTTTCAGAGCCCTGCTAACCATGATTCTGTCATGTATTACAGTGCCATCTAGTCACTGAAAAAGCTCTCCTTAGTTCATGTTTGAAAATAAAACACTACTTACCTGGCATTGCAATGGGAGAATTATTTTAGGTGTCTAGGAGTTGTCAATGAGATGGATGAATTTGGTCCTACTTAAAAGTTGCACTTTTAAGTAGGTGGCATGGCGTGGTGGCTTGTGCCTTTAATCCCAGCACTTGGGAGGCAAAAGGCAGACAGATTCTCTGTGAGTTCAAGGCTAGCCTGCTCTACACAGTGAATTTTAGGACAGACAGAGCTACACAGAGAAATCACATCTCAAAACATACAAAACAACAACAACAACAACAACAAAAGAGTTCCACAGACAGAGCTTGAGAATTACCTGTCTACATGTGCACAGGAGACGGGGCTTGCACTCATGCATGCACGCACCCCCCCCCCCACATGCACAAGCACACACTCATTCACATTGGAGCCACCCATAACTGACTTTCAAGAGGGCAATTTGTCAGAAGCCGTGGTTTCAGTAGAGAGGAAAAACAGACCCTAGCTTAGACAAGGAGAAAGATGGGGTGCTGTGTGAATATCTTATCACGCTCTCCTCCAGTCTTTGGCTCTCTCTCCCAGAGCTCCCCACCCCCACCAGCTTAGACAGGGATCAGGAGGGTCTGCTGATGCATTTCTTAGACGTCAACCTCCTGGGGTACAGAACAGGTGGAGAGAATGCAGGATGGATCTAAAGAGGTGAATGCAGAATCCTCAGCTTCTGATCCTCAGCACTAACAAAAACTAACAAGAAGTCTCCAGGGATACCCGGGGATGCAGTCTTGGCTCCTGCAGGACTTGACAGCTCACCACAGCCCTCACCTCTACCCAAAGGACAAGATCAGAATGGGACAAGTCGGGCATTGCGCTGTCTTGAGCCACACTGTGAGCCCCTCCCTTGGCCTTGTCTTAGTCACTGGACTCCCAGGGAGAAACATCAGGCCAGGAAAAGAGCTGCACCCCCACATCCACCTAGGTATCAGCAGCTCTGCCAGCACTCTGGCATCTTGTCCATGATCTAATCATGGCCCGAGGTCAGTGGTTTTTTTTTTTTTTTTTTTTTTTTTTTTTTTTTTTTTTTTTTTTTTTTTTTTTTTTTTTTTAACAGGCTGGGGATTTGATTGTCTGGATGGCAGAAATTTATTCCTGCCAGGATTTTATATGCCTCAGAATTGAACCCCCTTGAGGAAAAAGAAGCAGGGCGGAGAATGGGCAGTGGGGTAAAAAGAGAGGGATAGAATGCAGCCTTCCAATGGTGTGTTCCTGCTGTGTACACTTTCAGAGTTTGCAGGCAAATTTGTGCCTGCAATTGTGGCTAAAATATGAATGAATGTGGTTGTGTGCAGGTGCATGAATGACTGTAGTTTCTATGAATGAATGCATTTGTGATGAAGGGTGTATGGGAACCCTTGCAAGCTGGGGTAGTGGCTTGCAGGTGCCTGGCTGGCTAAAAGCATCCACGGATAAGTATCCTTACTGAAGTCTGTGAGGTTAGGTGGGGGTATGTAGGGGGAGTATTTGGTTTTCTCATAGCATCTGCTTTTTATGCTATTGTTGCTGCTGCTACTAAAACATGGACCATTAGCAACTGTATGGCCCTCCCAGAAGCCCCAGAGAAGGGGAAACAGGCAGTCTGTTTGTCATCAGCTGAAGGCTCCTCCGGCCACTAGGAATTGTCCTTAGATAAACTCTAGCCCCACAGTCTCCCGTCTAGCCCCTGATGCTCTCTCTTCCTTGGGGCTTAGCAAGGAGCAGGTGAGTAGTGTGGCGAAATGGAGTTTTCTATGACCTGCATCCCCCTGACCCACTAGCCTGGCAGGGAAGAATTATGCAGATTGTTTCCTTGTCTAACATGCTGGGGTCCACATCTGATGCCTTTCTCTTTCCCAATCAGCTTTCAGGGAAGGAGGAACTTCCTAATTTGGGGATAGAGTAATAAGCAAAACTGATTTGGGGTGGGGGGCGGTGAGAATTGTAAATCAGACCTGATAAATATGTTTAAAACTTAAGGAAGGTCCACTTAGTTTTAAGTCATATGAGCTAAATATGTTTTGGACTCTTCTCCTCCACCCAAGGCATCCTTTGTCATCTGAGTGGTCTCTGTGAGTGCCCCTATACACAACTGTCCTAATTAGTCCCCTCGTTAACAGCCTGGCAGATGCTAAGGACAGAATGGGTCAGGAAAACCAAATTCTTTCACCATCTAGAGTTACAAGTGTAGCCCATCTGAGGAGGGTGAACCAGGGAGGGGCCGAGGAGCAAGAAATGTAAGAAATGAAGACCACCAGATGATGATCACGTCCCTCCTCTGAAAGCAAAAAAACTACACCACCCCCCACCCAGGATCTCTGGGGGAGGCAGTGGGTGTTCACGTAAAGAAGTCGCACGTACATGTGAAAATGTTTGGATGTAAAACAGACCTTTGGAAATTACACTGTTTAGCTATGTAAAGAACATAATTGGCCCCAGTAACAAGCACATGTTTAATAAATGCAGATTTTAATGATGCAATTTTGGCATCAGGTTGCTTATTTAAGTTCCCCTCAGATGAAGCCTCCTTCTATTTTGAGACACGAATTCTGTATTTTTCTGCCAGGCAACCACGAGAGGAAGAATATCCCAGAGTCCTTGTCTATGAATGTACTGCCTCCACGAAGCATGAATGCGCTGGCACTTTGTGTCTGTATGAATGGGGGTTGCATGTGCTGGTCAGAGGCCACGTGAGACACGTGGGGTGGGAATTGTGTCTTTGGAAAAAAAATGAATTGGAAGAAGTGAGACAGAGAAGCTATGAATGGCATAAGTCTCTCCCATGGTGCCCCTCCATCACAATGCCCCTCGCCATCATAAGGCACACCTGTTTCATTAAAATGAATTCCTGGCTTTGCATATATCAATCAATAGACCAATGTCTTGCTTGTGTACCACTGTTCACAGGGTCCAGACTGAAAAAAAAAAAAAAAAAAAAAAAACCCAGGGCTGCAACACAAAAGATACTGCAGTCAGCTCAGGCAGGAAGTTATTTTTAGATCAGAAAAAAAAAAAGGAGAAAAGAAAAAAGAGAGAAGAAGAAGCACTTCTGGGTTTTGCAATCTAATTTGGTCCCCTTTCTTAAAGAAAAAAAAAATCCCATCGATGGCAATTTCCATACAATCTGATTCTATTTGGCTCCTAGCAAAGAAGAAGAGATCTAGGGCTGAAAATTCTGGAGTTTTATGGCTGCTTCTAGCTAGTAGCCTTTCTTCACCAGGCTCCAGCTGAATTAATTTGATACTATTTTTGAAAGTCAGTGTTTCTAAGGGAGACCTAATGACGCACTGACGTCAATGCAGGTCAATAGCACACGCTGCTGGAACTGGGCGTGCTACACGGAGCCAGGGCTGGAGCCTTTCCAAACAGACCCAACTCTGCAAATATCCCAGCTTTGCAGGAGGGGGTGTGAGGGGGGGGTGTGAGCCAGGGTTTTGTAAACATCAAGACCCCCATCATTCCCAGAGCCTCTTCAAAATCGACGCATATTTTCCTGACTCAAAGAAAGGCTAAATAGAAGCAGTCGCACTGCAGCATATAAAAAAAAATACCTGTCAAAGAAATCATATGTAATTCGGGCAGCATGCACACACATTTACACTCAGAATGCAAGGCATATCATTAGGGTGTGTCTATAAATAGACCCCAGTGTGTATGCATTGGGACTTAGTCCCTGGTCGGGGTTTTTGAACGTGGGTGATGAATTCTGTGTTCTGATCAGTTACTCGGGAGGTGCCTGAATGTGAGGGGGTGGGAGTGTGGGAGGGGGCTGCCTCCTCTCTTCTCTTTCCCTCCGGCTGCTCTTCTCTCCTCTCCTCCCCCCTTCTCTCTTCCCCCTCCCTTCCTCCCTCTCCTCCCTCCCTCCCTCTTTCAGCATCTCCCCTACCCTCTTTCTTTCTCTTCTCTCCCTCTCTCCCCTCCCTCTCTCCCCCTCCCGCTCTCTTCTCCCTCTCCCTACAAGTCTGGCACTGAAGGAGAACTGTTTTGCTTTGCTCCGGGAAGAGTGCAGACACGACGTGAAATCCGGAGCTCTTTGCGTGGTGCATTTAAAATGCTTCCTTATTTATATTACCCTCATCCCCTCCCCTCTCCCACCCCCTCACCAGCCCTTCCAAATTTCCCTAGAAATCTGTGTAAAGCGTGGAGGGGAAAACATTTGCTTAAAAAGTGAAGGAGCTCGCCAAGGTAGGTTATACCATGCACTGCCTTGTGTTCGCCTTTTGCAAAGTTTATGATGTCAGTTGGTGAATGTTCTGTAGAGCAGTTCTTTATGACTATCCATGATTACTGTCTTTTTTTTTTTTTTAACAGTATCTGTACAAATAGCCTAGACTTCTTGAGCAGGCTTTGCTAGGGTCTTGTGTGTATGGTTCTTGCAAGGGGCATGCCAATCGGGAATCAGTTGTAGTGTTGAACAGGGAAAGAGATGCTGTGTTGTGGGGTGGGGGTGGCAGATTGGAGGGGGCTTCTCCAGTGGGCAATTGCTCCTTCCAGTTTGCCAGACTTGGGGCTGATTCTCATTCACTAAATGTCTTCATTATCTGGTAATGATTTTGCACATGAAAAATCTAGTTCCAAAAAGGTTTCATGAAGTCAGAACAAAGTGAGGGGGAGTATAGGGTGATAAAGAGAGTTGGGGCATGCTGGTGGTGGTTGTGGCAATGTTTCCTTAACAGAGAATTTAATCTCTCCTCACAGTATCTGGGAAAATATGCTAAGTCTTTAATGGATGTAAGCAAAAATGATTTTTAAAAAACCTTATTAGTAGGTAAAATGGGGAAAAAAATGTTTCCATTGCAAGAGCAAGAACCTGCTGCAGCTCACAACCACCTGTAGAGGGAAATCTTTATGCACAATTTCGTAGGGCCGGTTGTGTGGAGGAAAACCGCCTGGAAAGGCGCCTGGCAAACTTTGCTGCAGGAAGAGAGGCAGGCCCCCGCAGAGTGAAGGGCGAAATCGCGGGGGCGGGCAAGGAGGCGGGCGGGGGGGGTGGGGAGGGGGGAGGACAGAAGCTCACCGGAGTCATCTATGAAGCTGCAAAGTTGGCCTGCCTTGCTTTGGGGTGGGGGTAGGGGTGGGGGCGGGGGAGCACTGAGAAGGGCAAGCGTGAGCTAAGTGGTTTGCAGGGTGTGTGTCTGGGTGGGGAGTATCCTAGGAGGTTTTGTTGATGTGGCATTAAGTACCTTGTAGAGATGTGGAGGTCTGAGTCCGGAGCTTCCCCTCCCGCCTTGTTCTCTCCTGCCTCCTGCCCCTGCACAAAGCCAGGTGGTAATCAACAAGTGTCTCTCCCAAGATTAGTTTTGAAAAGGAATTGGAGGGTTTTCTAATCGAGGTAAATCCACCGACTGCATTGTGTGTTATAGAGGGGCATTCATTGTTAGGTAGGAGCTTTGAAGAGTGGAGGGGTGGAGTGGGGGGCTTCAACGTCAGTCATTTGACCTTGGGAAACAGAGTTCAAACCCTCCGGAGTGTTGAAAAGGCGGAACAAGGGTCATGATTCTCATCTTTCATCCCGAGCTTTCCAGGTACCCAGAGAAAAATCTAGCGCCTGCTTTTGGCCACACCTCGTCAATGGGGATTCCATGTGTCTGAAAGCAGGTTTTTTTTTTTTAAATCTAGGGAAGCAGGCAGCACGGGCAGCTCAAGGGCTGTGTTTTCTCTCCCTTGCATAGGATCTTCTAGGAAACCTGGGTAGCCTGTTCTGAACAGCTGCCTCTTCTGAGAGCTGTAACACAAATGCGCGTGGGGAGGGGGGTGCCTTAGCTCTCCTTAAAAAGAGATAAGAGCTTGCCGTTTGAACGGCTGGCTGAACAGAACCTGAAACAGGGAAAAGACAATGAGGTTTAGGACTGGGGTGGTGGAAGGGAGGACCAGCTGGATGACATGTCCAAAGGAAGGCGATGGTTTCTGAGGTTTTCCCTCCCAAAGGGGCGAAGTGGCTGCGTCACCAAAGGCAACTGATGAGGAAATATCAACAAGAAGATGGGAAACTGGGGAAGGAAGTTGGAAGTTAGAATTAGCAAGTCATTGCCTCACCCTCTGGAGCTAGAAAAACCGAAACGCAGGGACATAGAAATAGTGAGTGCTGGGCATGGTGAGACATGGATGTGATCCCTATGCCCAGAAGGTAGAGCCAGGAGAATGGCCACAGGTTTGAGGCCAGTCTGGTCCACATAGTGAGTTTCAGGCCAGACTGGACTACAAAATAAGAGCCTATCTTAACAAAAAAAAAAAAAAAAAAAGGTAGGGGCTGGAGAGATAGCTCAGCAGTTAAGAGCACTGGCTGCTCTTCCAGAGGTCCTGAGTTCAATTCCCAGCACCCAGCACCCACACGGCAGTTCACAACTGTCTGTAACTCCCGTTCCAGGGGATCCAACCCTCACACAGACATACATGTGGGTGAAACACCAATGTATATAAAATACAAATAAATAATTATTAAACGAAAGAAGCGCAGAGATAGAGGGAGGGTCCAGGCTGTAGTTGATATGAAGCACTATCTAGCTAGAGAGAGCAGAGGGATAGGGACTCCACCCTGGAGTAAGGCCAGGCCAGCATGACTGATAGGCACCCCAGCATCATTTAGGGTCCTGGTTAGGGGACTGCCCCATCCCTTTCTGGCCACTGGAAGGATGGCAATGTCTTTCACAGCCTAGGAGGAGTTGAGGCCACTTGGATTAGTCTTCTTGGAAGGATATTGTCCTACTCTTTACTTGGGCTAACAAATGTTTCCCTCAGCTGTCGAGGAGAAAGTAGTTAGGAAAGAAACTAATCTGGTCTTGAAATCCAGCCCTGTGGCCTCCATCATCCCCTGAACCTATAAATCCCTCTCTACTCTCCACTGTGGTCTCTTGAGGACCAAATTCCAGAAGGACAATAGTCCAATATATACTCTTCGACACTTTGTTCTCACTAAAGGAGTTCCCTGTCCGTCAGTCGTCCCCCACCCTAGAATCCACCTTTATCAGGTCTGAACATGCCCAGGCCTATGTCAAGTGCAGACATGTATGCAAAGCATACATGCATCTGTATGTGTCAAAACGACACGAACACATGCAAATGTGCCCGGGGCTCTCACCACATGGAAGTCCATGAGCAACATAGAGTCTTTCTCTTCTGATGAGTCGGGAGAGGCCAGTTGAGAAATGCTACACCTGGTTTAGGGGTGGATCTGACATCCCTGAGTGTATGTGGTGAACCTGAATTTGCCCTGGGTTTCCTCATATTCATTCAGGAGTGTCAGTTGCCTCTTCTCTCGACGCTGGAGAGAGTTACCTCAATCGAAGATCCATTCCATGAAAAGAATGAAGTCCCAACTCAGTTCTTCAGTACCTTGGATAATCCTGGTGTTTCTCCTCTCTTTCTCAAAAATAGGGGAATGAGCAGGGGCAACTGTGTAATTTGGTGTGCCCAAAACAAAATGAAAATGTAAAACCCCTTGTTCAAAAAGCATGAAGATAATGCCATTAAAGACACTAAAATAAAGGGTTTTCTCTTTCTTCCACGGGCTCTCTAGACTCATTGCGGAGCTGATTGCATGCCGTTCAATGTTACGCGAAATAAACATTATTTTGTTTTCATTGTTAGCGTGAATTTTACTCCTCATCTCTGTACTGTGCAGCGTTGGCTTTAAATGTAGACAAAAGAACATCTAGCTGGTCTTCCCAGCCCCAGAAATTACACACCTCCTGTTTGTAGTCCCTGCGTGCCTAGGCATCTCATTCCTGCCAGAGTGATGGGACAGCAAACAAAATGAGCTTTCCTGTTTATATCTCACTTCTTGGTAAGGGTACCCAGTGCCAATGCTCTCTGGCTCGCTGTTGAGTGGAGGAAGTCTGAGAAGAAAAGCTCTGTGGTTCACTTTCTCTCCGCCTCTCCTACGTCATGGTTTTCAGTATCCCACAGATGGGCAGCAAATACAGAGAAGGGCTGTGCTGCCCAGTTTTGTCAGTCTGACACAAGTAATAGCCATATGAGAGGAGGGACCCTCAACTGAGAAAATGCCTTCGTCACATCTGGCTGTAGACCAGCCTGTAGAGCATTTTCTCAATTAGTGATTGATGGAGGAGGGTCCAGCCCATTGTGGGTGGTGCCATCCCTGGGCTGGTGGTCCTGGGTCCTATAAGAAAGCAGGCTGAGCAAGCCAGTAAGCAGCTCCCCTCCATGGCTTCTGCATTAGCTCCTGCCTCCGGTTCCTGCCCTGTATGAGTTTCTGACCCAACTTCCTTCAATGATGTGGAAGCGTAAGCCAAATAAATCCTTTCCCCCTCAACTTTCTGTTGATGACGGTGTTTCATCTCAGCAATAGTAACCCTGACTAGGACAAGAGCCATGAGTGACAAGTGCCGTGCTAAGGTCCCTCAGTCATTGGTGATGTTTAGAGCTCCGTGGCTTGTCTCCTGTATTCAAAGCAGCTTTCGGACAAAAAGCATGACCTCTCAGAACTGTGGGATCCCCTTTCTCTCAATCCTAGACTTATAACTCACCTACCTTGAGTCTGACCGAGCTCTCCCTGGCATTCTCCAGAGGGCACTGCCAACAGAAAGCCGAGCGGGAACCCATCCCACCTGTCTTCTCCATTCACTCACACGCTCCACTGTCCTACAGACTTACAGAATACAACTTCAAAGATAAGATCATTAAGAACTCCGAGGTCACGAATTTTAGGTTCTAATACAAGCACTCAGCCTTTCTCAGCACAGAACCCTTCATGATGGACGTCACGAACTTTTGAAGACATCCTCAGCAGGAAGGGATGAACATTGGCCCAGCTCCCAGACCAAGAGTCCAGTTGCTCACCTTCCTCCATCAAGCAAATAATTCCATCTACAACAGAAAACTTCGGCATCCTCCATTACTGATTGGCTGGAGGACTCTTCTTCTCTAACCAAGTTCCACCTTGAAAAGCCCACTACTTCCCAATGTCCCAGCTTTGAAGACAGACCGCATCTATTGATCTCTCCCAGGCCCACGGATGCCTTGCACTAGAGGCCAGGCCTTGGCAATGAAGCATCTGTTCTGGTCCATACCTGTCATAGCCAAGCTTAACTAGATCAATCAGATGCCCCACCCAAGTGTACCTTTAGGTTTTACCATCTAAAGCAAATAAAATGATGCTCAACATGCTCCATGAATGACTGTGCCGGTGATTTAATGCTGATTAATCATTATCTATCTCACCATCA